GTAAACTATAAAAATCTTCAAAAAATTTAATTGCTTAAGCGCCAAAAAATTATCAGATCTTCATGAAACATAAACAGATCGACGTAGAAAAAAAATCAGATTCAAATTATATATTATAACTCATTTTCGACCAAAGTGGCGTATAAACGATTTGCCGTTCTACTGTTGAAATAATACAACTCAAAGATATATATAATACAACTGAATGAGTCTAGGTGTCGAGTTTTTTTTCAACAATAGAACAGCGGTGATGTCGTAAGTAAACGAAATTGTATGATGTCCGTCAGTTACATTATACAGAATGGTCCAATTAGTGACGTCAACAAATTTTATTTGTAAAGAAACATTGTTGGGTATCCGAAAACACTCCATTCCATTTTAAATCTTAGTGGTGAAACCGAAATTATTATAAAATTCCACATGCTAAAGTTATTTTACAGGAATTTCAGTTAAATTTAATTTAAATCTACATTTTTAAGTTTAATTTACCATAACAATGATAAAAAGTAGATAAAATAATTTTTAATGCTTTAATCGTGTTTCAATGATTTTTAGCCAATCCGCCTTAGGAGGTAATTTATAACAAAAATAGGCTGATTAAGTACATTTTTTATGATTTTTGGTAGTTTAGAAGCATGCGGAGTTTTTAATTTTGGCCAGAAGCTATGAAAACTTTTTGTAATTTTAAATTGAATTTGCATGTTTGAGTAAATCCTACTAAAAACTAAAGATCCAATGTTCAAGCCCAAAAGAGGCTTAAGGAGGTAACTTTAAGTAATTTCAGGAAGCTGAGTTATTTCTTTTATTAAAACAACATTCAAGACAATATGTCACAAAAAAAAGGCTGCAAAATACCTACTACAAAAAAATATATGAATTTTTGAAACCTCGCTGGCAGAAATCATTAAAAATACACAAATAAATTATAACTCGAAAGCTAAGAAAAATCGCGGAATAAAAATGGGGTATTGGATACGCCCAGGTGCGAGCAATCTAAAAAAATGGTTTACGTCACTAATGGACCAGCCTGTATACACTAATGTTTACTTTTGTCAATTAGAATTCGAATCGTTTGCGAGTGCGAAATGCCATTGCCAAATGTATGGAAACTAGAACAGCAGCTCCGCAACGGAGGTAACGAGACCATGCTTATAATTTGTACTCTAGTTTTCATATTTTCAGTTAGCGTATTGTATGAATAATTTCTGTGTTTTCTTTACTCATGTCCTATTTCTTTGCATATAACTGTGCCCCTAGCACGAACCAATACCTAATTAGAATAGTTAGCGAGTGTTTTTTTTTTCTTTTATATATTAGGTCCGAAAAATGACACCACCCCACCTGATGTTAAGTGACGGTGAAGTCCAGACGCGAAGATGTGTAAATTGTCAATGTCAAATTTTCTATGGAAACTCAATGCACGTAACATGAACTAAAAATCAGTACATATTTGTCAAAGTCATTTCGCACTCGCAAACTATTCGAATTCGATATTGGTTCGTGCTATGGGTACAGAACATCGCGCTCAGTGTACCCCGATATTTACACGTCTCATGCAGCGAGCGGTCTTTGAATCGTTTCAGTCGAATAACGTTCAGTGTAGCGACGGCAGGCGGTTAGCTTACGGCGAGATAGATGATAACTATACGACCACATTCAGAGGTCAGTACTTTTTGATTTAACTTATTATAGACTAGCATTCCACACGTAGTTAACCATAGATTTATTTAATGATAAATATATGTTGTTCACAAAGTTAATTGCAAAGAAACATTGCAGTTGTAATATTTTTTTTGAGGTTTTAATAAATATTTATTTCGTATGTTTTCATAATATAAACTTTAATAATATAAAGCTCGTCGCCTACAACCGGTTTTTCACGGGTGAACTATATTTAACAGCAGTAAATACAGCCTATATGTCACTCATAGTCAATGTAACTTTTTTGTGGTTAATGAATTTACGAAATGGATTAAATAGTTTTTAAGTTTATTCGTTCCGTGCATACAGATATTTCCTTTTTATAATACACCTAGTATATATAGTACATAGTTCCTTCCGATAGATTATGCTAAAATAATCGTCCAAGTGCAAGTCTGACTTCGCAAATTTGGGTTTCTATATCAAATATAGAATTATCAAAGGAAAATAACAAGCTAGGTGCGAGTGGGATTCGCCCACCGAGGGTTCCGTACAATTTTTTACCCCAATCGTTTGTTTTCCCCCTCGCTTTATTTTACCTGCACTCCTTTAGCTCCCCTTAAAATCTTTGAAAAATATTCTTAAACAAAGGACATGTTTCTTTTGGGGCTTACAATTAAGTCTATTTTGAACCAACCTTTCCTTTTTTGTCCAAGTAGTGATTGTCATTTTTATTAGATATGAATGGCTATTTGAATTATGTAACAGTTAATCTATTTAACACATTATCATCATCAGCTTATTAAACTCCCCACTGCTGGGGCACAGCCCTTCCCTATGGATGGAATAGGGAGATTAGGCCATGACCCGCCACGAGGGCCCAGTGCGGATTTGTTTGCTAACGACTGCAGATGCAGCCGCGCCAACGCTTTGACGTGACTTTTGAAGTACAGAGGAGCTCGAGATAGTAAATTTTTGGTAACCCATCCAATGATCAACCGCAGCCGTACGCGCTAACCACTTGCGCCATCGAGCTCTTTCTTATATTTAAATATACAAATTATTCGTATTTGGGGAGCTCGATGGCGCGGGTAGTTAGCGCGTTGGGCTGCGATCGTTGAAGTTAAGCAACTTTGGCATCGGTCGGTCATTGGATGGGTGACCAAAAATTTTCTATCTCGAGTTCCTCCGTGCTTCGGAAAGCATGTTAAGCCATTGGCCCCGGCTGAATCTGCAGAAGGCCCGCGTGGTGGGTCATGGCCCAATCTCCCTATTCAATCCATAGGGAAGGCCTCTGCCCCAGCAGTGGGGACATTAATAGGCTGATGATGATGATGATAAATATTTCATAGTTATCCCTCAATACGGATAGTTACTTCTATTCAATTCAATCCTCCTTACGGATTACTGATGCAATTTTCGTTCTGCCACCATTAATCCTATGTTAAAAAGATTGATTTTTCCCAGTAATCTTATCAGACGATTAGAGCGTCGAGTGGGTTTTTATCGCTAGATAATTTATAGTTCATTATGAATGTTACAGATTTATAACTAAAGTGGTGTACTGTGATTGCTATAGTAAGCATCTTTCTCTCACACTCCAATCGTTCCCTCGTTTTTAAAGTGAAACTTGTTTTCGTACGGGGTGTTTTTCTGTATTTATTTATTTTTTGGAAGGCCAACAGCTATTAATAAAAAGAGTAAAAACTTGAACAATAACAAAAAGCCAATTGCAGGTCTTCACCAATAAAACACATTACAACATAATTAAGCACACTTTTGACATAATAATTACAAAAAAGAGCATTGTACAATTGCCTATTCGTCAAAAAATGCACTGCTTAAAACCCGCTTCAGTGATGGAACGCTAGTGTGATACAAATCAATGCCAGTTTTCTCAGATATAACATTAAAACTATTACCTGCACGCAAGAGATACGAATTCCGTCTAAAGTTTGAGGTTGCCTGTGAAACGTATATAAGGGTTTTAAATCTAAGTGGTTTTCGTGTAGCCCTAAGGGAAATTCTAGACAGTAGTGCTAGGCAGTCGGTAGCACCAAAAGCTATTTTTAATAAAAATACTAAATCTGGTTTTTGGCAGCGTTTTTGCAGTGGTAACAAGTGGTGTTTCTTACAAAAGTATTAATATTAGTTAGAATCATACTGCTCTTTGGTTCGAAAACAGAGATAGTTGATAAATTTCTTTGTATGTTTCAATTCGCGTTATATGTTTGTAAGGGTTCCTTCCAGTCCTGGGATGCTTAATCCAGATGACTTCGAACAAATGAACAATATAAAATCTTTAATGTTTTTGCATTTTAAAGTCTCTGGAAATACGCATCACAAATCCAAGAGCCCTGGAAGTTTTATTAATGATATTATCTATGCATTTTATAAGAGCTTATTGTCATGAAGGTCGCTAAGGTCCTTCACCACAGTATCACGTTGCAATGTTGAGCCTCTAAATTTATAATCAAAAGGATGGCGAACAAGTGTATGGCCCGCCTTATAACAAATTTTGCTTAGAATTTGTCTTTCTATCGATTCCTGGAGTTATTTTTATTAAAATAATTTTTACCGCCAGGGCAAAAGCGCAAGTTGGCAATATGTCACTTTTGTTTCATATGGTATCCACCTAATCACCAATTTTCATGAAAATCGATGGAGGTTCAACGAAATTAGAGGTTGTAGCTGATTTTTGCCTTTATTGACTGTACTATTATGAAAACAAAGATTGAACTATTTTTCTTTGATACTGTTACATGTGTTGTGTACTTACTCATTTAGATGTGATTTAATGGTAATTTAATGTCTGACTGACATGGAACCTACTCTTAAAGTGCCAATAATTAGGGAGTTTACCCTATAGTGTAATGTTTTGTCTTATAACTATTAATTTTATTCAAAATGATTAAATGAAATTGGTGCGATATATCCCACGGTTGTACTGATACAATCGTCATTGTTTAAAATTATTGTTGATTTATTTATTGTCTCTAGTACGATTTGATTTGGCGGGGTAAGCGGTCACTAAACTATCATTCGCACCGTTGCCTTTTCTGACTCATCCTCTACCCCGTGGAACCCTGGAATTTTACTCATCAACAGAAACACAACACCACCAAGAGGTAGTGTTCTTTTACTGTCGTCTTCTGTAAGGTGGAAGTTGCTTCCCCAGACGGGCGCTCCAATTTGAGCGGAAAATCCATTACGCCCTACATCTGCTAGGGCTCCGTCCCCACTGCTGGGGCACAGACACGGTAATAGGCTGATAACTACATACTAGAGAGAGAGTTAGGCTAGTAGGGCTAGTTAAATACATTAATCCTGATAATTTTGTTTATTTACTGTGATTGCAGATGAAATGAGTTTTGTAAAATTATAAAACAAAATACAGCCTAAGTATGAAGACAATATTTTTCCTATCAGCATGTCTTATCTCTTGCCACTGCCAAAATATCGAACATACATTCAAGAATATCAATGAAAAATTCGTTCAACTAAACGCTATCGCAGCGGACATATCATGGCAATCCTCTATAGATCCTGGCAACCCAGAGTTGAGAGAGAGGGCCACCGAATATCAGAAAACTATGTTATTGTGGCAACAAGACACGTGCGAGACGCTGGCAACATTGGGAAATCGTCATTTATTGAACGCTGTTCAACGAAGGCAGACGTATTTGCTGTGCAGAGGACCGAAATATACATATAAGGAGGCCAGGTAATATGTTTGCGTGTAATATTATAGATATAGATATTCATAAGAAGTCTTAAGCTATTGCATAGATTTTATCGCGGGCTTTGAGTGCGGCGACCGAATTCACAAATTCCGTAACGAAAATAACCTGACAACAGTGCATATGATAAATAAAATTTTTGAACTAAAGATGGTAAACTGTGGAGCTTGTGGAAGTTTTTTGGCGCCGGGCAATGCTGTTGTTTGCTGTGCTTGCTCAATAAATTCTCATAAAGGCTGCTTCGCCATCTACTAATATAAAAAAAAACTGCATAAATAAAATAATTATAATTGTATAAGTTGATAAATAATGCTATGCAATAGCTTTACCTCGGCAGTCCCCGAGTGCCACACGTATTTTTTTGTTCTATGTATTACTGTTTTACATGCTCCAGTGCCTACTTGCATTTCCAAAAACTGTCCATCATTTAGTCATCCTAGCTGCTTCTTAATATGAATAATATTTCCCTCACTTACACCAATTATTAGCCTACACTCGAAGTAAGCTCTGTTAAAGCTTGTGTTATGGGATAATATAATAATAATCTTTATTTGTTCTTCCGCAATCTATAAATCACATGACAACTTATTATACTATAATTTTATATCAGAAAAATAAAATTGATTGTGAGAGACTGGTGCCTGAACTAGGCAGAAAGCCTCAGAGCACCAGGACTCTCCCTCCCCTTGAGAATGCACAGTGAGCAAATTATAAGGTCATTGATCTTACATTTACATTTATGGGGTACTAGGGTAATGGATAGAATACATATATTTGATACATATATAAGTATATATATAGAAATATATATAAACATCTATGGCTAAGATACAAATGCTCGTATTTATCATACAAACGAGTAGGCCTCACGAGTAGGTGATACCATGAAACCGTGGCGTATTGGCACTCGGTCCGACAAAATTATATTAACGCAACAAAATATACAGGTACATTATTATTGTAAATATATAGGTATACAAAATTTAATAGGTATTTCATATCCCTCAATAATAATATCGCTTTCTAGTATTAAAGAATTTTTTAATTCGTTACAAAAATACAAATGTTTATTTTTAATAATATTGTTATAGAAGATAATTTTCTGAGAAACAAATTAATTTTCCCCCTTTTTAATCTCACCGTGGGCGATGCGATGGACTTTCTGAATCGAGAAAATCGTAAGATTTCACTTAATTAATTGATTTCATACCTTTCGAGTCACATTTATGAACGAATATTTGCTATTCACTTGTAACTTTGTAGATATTAAAATGTATTTGCAATCATTACCTACTAAAAATTTATGAAAGACTACGACGATTATTTTCGGAGCAATCTAAATGATACGAATTTGTGATTATGATCACAATAACTGCGGTCGGCTTTTAACAGCATTTCTATATCTATACTAATTTACAAAAGAGGAAAGATTTGATTGCTTGTTTCTTATGAATAGACTCCGAAACTACCGAAAAACCGATTTGAAAAAAAGAACCTCAGACTTGGAATTCTACATTATCTCTGATGAACATAAGTATTTTTTTAAGTTAGGGTTCCGTATGAAAACTTCTATAATTTAAAACTATGTGTGAAAAAATACCAAACCACCTGCCAAGTGCGAGGCGGACTCGCGCACCAAGGGTTCCGTACAAAATCAATTTAATACCTCTACGCGTCCATGAGGAAAGAGGTAGTAACTTTACAAATCTCAAAAATATTTTTTATTATATGATGTAACTAAAAAACGTTTGTCGCAATTTTTCCTTTATCTGCACCCCTAGCACGAACCGATTTCGAATTCGTATCGTTAGCGAGTCCGAAATGTCATTGTCAAATGTGTACTGTGTTTTAGTTCTCGTTACGTACTTTGTGCCGCTGCTGTTCAAGTTTCCATACAAAAATTGACATTGACATTTCGCTTTGCAAACTATTCCAATTCGATAACGGTTCGTGCTAGAGGTACTGTACCCCTAGCACGAACCAATATCGAATTCGAATCGAATGCGAGTACGAAATGTCATTGTCAAATATGTACTGATTTTTAGTTCTAGTTACGTACTTTGTGGCGCTGCTGTGCAAGTTTCCATACAAAATTTGACATTGACATTTCGTACTCGCATTCGATACGAATTCGATATTGGTTCGTGCTAAGGCTACTATAAAAGGTAACTTCGTACCAAATTTCAAGATTCTAAGTACCCTGTAGGTTTTGATTCCCGTGCAAGTTTCGAAAATTTGCGGAAATTTGCGGCATAAACGGCTGTATCGTTTGATTGCTTGGGTTAGAAGTTTAATTTTTTCACAGCTCCAAGGGACAGTAGACATGAGTATTAGATATGAATTTCAGTTTGATACCTCCACGCGTTCCTGAGAAAAACGGTCTCGAGAGACGGACGGACGGACGGACTACAAAGTGATCCTATAAGGGTTGCGTATTTACATTTTGAGGTACGGAACCCAAAAAATCACCATATATCGCGTAGGCTGCAAAAGTCAACAAAGAAAAGTTAAGTCCTAAAGCTTTTATAGAGCAAATAAGTCCGCGATACCATTCTGTGTAAATATTACAGTTATGTCACACCTAGAGGTTCCTTGCGGTTTCACCTGCGTTAATTAGGGGATAAAGGTTATAGTGAGTCAAAGTCTAAAGAGGACATGCTGCCGCGGACTTTTTTTATAGAACTGTTAAAGGGGAACAATTCCGTTATAACATGACTTTTGTTTAACATTAACCGTTTACCCAGAACACGCCACGGAAGTTCACAAATGAACAATTTTTACCCGTTTTTGTAACACTTGTCATTGATAATCCGATCCTACTGATCCTAGCGTGATGTTATAAAGCCTGATAATCATTGAGATCGAACCAGTTAATTCTGAGATTAACTGAAAAGAAACTGTCCAGCTTATTGATATTAGTGAGTACATCTGAAAACCAAAACTGTAGTTCTACACCGAAGCGAAGCGAGGGTGGGCCACTAGTAATTGATAAATCTCTTTAAAACTGTAAAAAAGCCTATTAGAGTCTGTGCGCAAAGAGTATGGGCGTGGCGAAAAAGGGAACTAACATTAAGATTTTTATTTGGCAATCAAACCCAGCAATCTGTAAAACGTCAAAGTTTTGTATTGATACGGATTTGTTTGTTGTTGTGATTTCTCGCGGTTATTTGTATTTAATCATGTCAAAAAGGGGTAAAATCTTACAAATACGGTAGAAAAGCACTACAGCGCTCTCCAGTCTAAATCCCATTCTCTTTCCGCACAGACTCTAAAATGAAATTTGTTGCAGAGATTGATTATAAGTAGGAACGGAAGCTAAAAAGGATTTAAGGAAAATCTAATTATGTATTGGCATCTTTTTCAAGGGCTATCAGTTATTTGTACGATGAGCTACAATCTACCTATACTCACATCGGCGTTTGCATACCGGCACGCACGAATAAAACAAAAGGAGATCGCACGGCTACCGAAGAAGCGGCCATTTTGGATTACCTCTCAAACGTGGAACGATTTTTGAGAGTGAAAGATGGCGCTCGGTACGCCGCGAAATTGGCGGGAAATGAAGGAATAGAAAGAGGCGATAGCACGTTGTGCTTGAGAGGAGAAAACGATTTCGACAGATTGATGAGGTTTTCAAAACATGAGCAAGTACTGAAGTGGCTGTGGCTGTGTTGGAGGGAAAAAACGGGGTTGATGAAACAACCATTCAGTGAACTGGTGACCGTTGAGAATGAAGGAGCGAGGCGTAACGGTAAGCTTTTTTTTTAAGTTATGGCGAATGATAGTAAGCGGTTGCTGGCCATAGGATATATTCGCTTGAGATACAACACAACCAAAAGATAGTGTTATTTTCTATGCTCTGCAGGATGCTGACCTCATTCAGTGTCAATGGCGTTTCGAATAAACGGCGACAACAATTGTTAACTATGAGTTGTTCGCTACTCACAACCTACCTACTAGATGCCCAAGCACGAATTTTTGACAGCTTCATAACGTATCGCATCGTCGTCAAATGGTTGAGTGGTGATTATTTAACGTTCAATACGATGCAATAAATTGTTAACATAATTGTTGACCTGTTTTTGGCTCAACCCCCCCCCTGACTAACCTGACCCCCTTGACCCCCCCCCCCCCCTGTAAACCAAAACTTTACTATCTCGAGCTCCTCCGTGCTTCAGAAGGCACGTTAATCCGTTTGTTCCAACTGCATTTAATCCGCACTGGGCTCTCGTCGTGTCATGGCCTAATCTCCCTATTCCATCTCTATAGAAGTCCTGTGTCTAAGCAATGGGAATATTAATAGGCCAATGATGATCTCACTTTCAGGCTACTCCGACATTGGCGCGTCATGGAGAGATGAAATAGAAATAAACAATTTAAGGCAGTTCTGTCGTCGGCTATATTCCAGCATTCGTCCTTTTTACACTTTACTGCATGGTGTAGTGAGGTACTATCTAAGAGCACGATATGGGAATATCGTACCTGAAAAAGGACCAATACCGGCACATTTGCTAGGTGAGATCTTCTTAGTGAATAAGTACGATATAGATAATTGTAATGTTATTAAATTTTATATTAAATACTAGATTTGCCCTGCGGTTTCCTCCTCATTAATTTCAGGGAAGAAGTTGTAGTGGGTCACCTTAAAGATACATAGTATATGCTGTCATGATTTTGAAGTTATACTTCTTTAGCCGCGTTATGAAAAAATTATGAGAGTGAAATTTTAAGATGCGCGCGCATCACTGTAACACAAAAGTAACATAATGAAGTTAGCCGCGGGCGCGTTATGAAAAAATGATGAGAGTGAAATTTTAAGATGCGCGCGCATCACTGTAACACAATAGTAACACCATGAAGTTGACCGCGGGCGCGTTATGAATGTTAGTGTCCAATAATGGTGGATTATTAACCACTTAGTGGTTAATAATCCACCATTATTAGACATCTGTTCGAAAGGTACTTTGAACGATCCACGGAGCTCCATAAGATGATCACGTTGTCAAAAACAATGTTGGCACGCTCGTCGCCTCTGATCACTGTTTTCATATTTATAATATTTATCCACATGTTTCTAGTTTCTATATAGACACAACGTGTTTTAGTTACTTACAAGTGCTAATTACATATGGACTAATAACTTAGTAGTGATTTTAATTGAATATTTATTTAATTTTTCAAATTAAAACTGAACTTAATTGACTGTGTTAACTATGCTTTTACAGTCATTTTATTATTTTATTGTAATTATTAATTATTTGCATGCAATTAAAAAATATTTTTAATGATGCTAAAGAAGTATAACTTCTCACGCGCGTACATAAGTTACACGCATCCATTTTTTTTATATTAACTGCAATGTTAACGCTAGGGCTAGCTACTTTGCTTGATAGAACAGTTGCTAGCGCTCGATATTAACTGCAGCGTTAACGCTAGGGCTACTTACTATGCTTGATAGTAAAGTTGCTAGCGCTCGACATAGCTGCAGCGTTAACGTCAAGGCTAGCTACTGTGCTTGATGGTACAGTTGCTAGCACTCGATATTAACAGGAATGTTAACGCCAGAGCTAGCTACTGTACTTCATAGTACAGTTGTTAGACATGATTTGACTATGGCATGATTCTCTAACCCGTAAATTAAAGCCATCAAAAACATAGCATGTAAAAAAAACAAGTGTCGCAACTCAGTTCTACTCCTTCTACCGTCAAAAGTTGTGAGATCCATGTTATGCCAAGTCGGTTAATTTATTTAGTCCCTACTTAAGGAACCTTCTGTCTTAAGTTATTATAAAAATTAGCTCACCTAACAACATCTTTTACTGACCATGTAAATATTAAAATTTTTGTATGTTTTAAATAAATAAATTGACTTGGCAATCGCACTCAACAATCTAATTCAATATAATATGTGAGATACATTGTGTTTTCATGCCTGCCGTGCGTTATACGATGCCTACTTGGTAACTGAAAATTCTGGCTTCTAGTTTTATCGACATCAAAGTTTTAGGGGGTTGAAAATGGCCTGACCTGTTTCGAGGAAAGGATGGTACGGCCTTGCCGCTGTTTTTGCTCGACATAGCGGGGGGCACCGCCGTGCCCACAGATTTGAAAACGGTGTATCCTTATTGTCATTCTCTTACAGAATGAAAATGAGAGACTGGGGTTAAATTTAGTTTTAGCTTTAGAAAGGTAATTATACCATTCTATAAGTATTGATTTGTTCTAGGTAATCTGTGGTCCCAAAACTGGGAGCCGTTGATTGATTTTATTACACTCAAGTCCGTTAATCTAGATGCAAGCGTTAAGAAGCTTAACTGGACCGTGGAACATATGGTATGGAATGGATGGATATTTTTACTAGCTAAATTGCTACCTACTTCATGTTAATAAATTTATATTAGCGGCACAGTTTCTGCCGCATCATCTAAATAATGCGATTAAAATAAGAATAGGAATAAATGTCGCTTGAAAAGTACGGTTTGCAAAAAAAACTCGAAACACTTTTTAGCACTCAGCTGATTCTAGAATAAAAACCAAACATTTTTAAACAAACAATAACAAATGTTGATAATTAATATTATTTGTTTTTATTCACTTGTTGGGTATTGGCTATGAATGGTTGATAACCTAAATCGTCAACCAAATGTCAATTTATGTTGCGTTTAGAAACTCGATTTAAAACTTTCGTTTTCATATAGGATGCATGTTCGTATGTGACCTGCATGATTATTCATAACTTCTCCGGCGGTAATGCAAAGATGAGCGAAATTGAAGAGCTAGATTCTGATCAATGTTTTTTTTCACACAGTCTTAATAAAGAAATACTATTAAAAATCGGTTGTGTTCTTTCTCAACCTTAGTAAATTAATATTATTAAAAAATCTGATGTTTTGTCTCACTTAATCTTAGTAAATAAGTTTTATTGAATAGCATATTTTTTTTGCTCGCTCTACCTATTTGGTTTAAATTGACAGCTATGACGTCAAAATATGGCGCCCAGTCGGTCCTATTGTTATTTGAATTGCATTCTACTTCGCCAAGGGTTGGGGGAGGGGTGGAGTAATTTGTCGCGCCTCGTATAAAAAAGTGGACAAGTGCGATTTGGTCTCGTCCACCGAGGATTCCGTTCTTTGTAGATACTCAACATAAACTATATACTCAGGATTCATTAAATTTTAATTCGATACGCTTTCCCGAGATAGAGTCACACAGACTGATAAACGGCAATATCTTTTTTACTTTAATAATCAATGGGGTGAGGAAGTTTCCTGTGTGTTTTCTATTAAATGTTTTTCTTACAAAAGTTATTAATTATCTGTTCTCTCGGAATTGTTAAATCGCTGCTAACATTATTCATATTAAATACAGATGCCAACAATTGGTACTTTATCTTTCATAATGTCAATTAGCCTATTGGACATTTATTGGTGTGATGAAACGAAATTTCATATATTCGGTTTAGGCTGTTACAAGCATTTGTGAAGGTCAAGCAGCTACGCCATCGGTTTGCAAAACTACGACGGGAGACCTTGTACTGAGAAGAACCGGCAAAAAACTTAGCAAGAGCTATTTTTTCTCCCTGTATTGTTACATACATAGTCGTCAAGTTGAAAATTTACTTCAGAGATACTTCTGAACTCACCTTCCATTACATCATTTAGAATATAAATATATAGTTGAGCACAAATGTTGGTTTCCGAGCTAATTCCTTTTATTCTTGTTTGTATTTTTTTATTTTATCTTGAAGATATATATTGAACAGAGCACCTGTAACAGAAATACAGGTACTCTGTACTTTTGTTGTCTCGTTATCCTTCCCTTTTTATACCTCAATATTTTGTCGCTACCCTACAAAATTGGCCTTATGGTTGTTTATATTCATTAATACGTTATTTTGTAAGCATAGTACAACTTCGCAGAATTTATATAAAAAAAATATACCTATTTAGGCAAAGCGCGCCGAAGATTTCTACCAATCAATGGGATTACCCCCGATGACACCTACGTTTTGGCGGGAGTCTGTGTTCGAAAACAAAAATGGCAACACGCGTTGTCATGGCACAGCAGCGGACATGTTTGAAAATGGCGACTATAGGTAATTGATTAGTATTAACTAATTTAAATTTAATATCAAATATAATACAAAAGTATTTACTTTTGTACCTAATACGTAGTAATTATACTGAGTTTATACGAATTTTCTAGTTATTCTAAACATAGGATTCAGTTTAAACTCAGCGATATTGATCAAGATCAAGAGAAAAAAAAGGACTGTTGAGCTGATAGAACTTAGCAGGCCGAACACCCGTGCTATCGTTAGAGCCTTAAATAGACACTGCACACTCAACAAACACCAATTTCATATGAAATTGAGTGACACTGATGTTTTCAGATACTCTACAATCAGGAGCGTGAAACATCAAAACACCTTGTATGTGAATGTGGGCCTCTCATCCACAAACGTAGTATTCATTTGGGATGACATATAATACGCTCAGAGGAAATCAAATTTCTAAAAGCTAGTAACATTTAAAGCTTCTTGGAAGCTGTCGGGCTTAACGAGATACTTTACTTTGGTGGCGATTCACAATAGATCTTTAAGGTCGCAGTAACTACAGTCCCATTAGGACTGCTTAGCCCCAAAAATCCAAAATAATGTATTAACTGATCAAGTTTGAGAATTTGACAGTCCACACAGTTTTTCATTAAAAGTAAGCAAGTTCTAGTGATGTGTTGAACAACTTCTTTCTTACAGACTTCTCTACTGTTCCGAAACTTCAATGGAAGATTTCTACGTACTCCACCATGAATTTGGACATATTCATTATTATATGGCATATGCGGATCAGCCAGGCTTATTCAGAGTAAGTTAGTATATTTGTAAATAGGCTTAATCAAGTTCGTGTGATTCCTGCAAGCTATTGACGTCACCAGTATCTAACGTCATCATCATCATCGTCATCAGCCTAATAATGTCGCCACTGCTTGGGCAAAGACTTTCCCTGTGGATGGAATAAGGAGATTGAGCCATGACTCACCACGCAGGCCCATTGCGAATCGGTGGGTTCTAATGACTGCTGATGCAGCAGGGACAAACGGTTTAACGTGCCTGCCAAAGCACGGAGGAGCTCGATATAGTAAATTTTTGTTCACCCATCCAACCAGTGACCCCAGCGAAAGTTGCTTTACTTCAGCGATCGTAGCCGAACGTGCTAATTACTTGCGCTATCGAGCTCCTCATTACCTAACGTAATAGAACGTAACCAAAAATTTATGCCAAGCTTAACCATGAAGCCGTAATCAAAATTTAGATTTTTGTCTAACAGTTTTAGATCTGTCATATAAAATGAGGATAACGCTGTGTGTTGTGTGATCTTAATGTATACTCTAAGGGTGTGATATTTTCGTATCATGCTTCTCACACACCTGAACAAAGCTTTGGTACCAAGCGTTCGAACTTTGAATTAGTTCTTTCGTAAGGAATTAGCGAGCTGCGTGCAGACGATAGCTTGACTGGCGATAATTTGACACTCATAAAAGAGGTTGTGCGAGACGATGAGATTGTATGTGCAGCTGAAGGAGCGTACTTAATTCAAATTTTAGCGCGTTTTAGTACCAACTCTCTCGAAAGTCTCGAAACTCTACCCGAAGTTCCGTCACGCAGGTGTGGGATAAGCATCACATGAAAAAGTTGAAGCTAAAAAGCTAAATTCAAAATCTTGATTCAGTCCTCCTTGGTCGTGTTTGGAACACTTGATCGTGAATGGTCAACAGTAAGATTTTTTTTGATCCTAATAAAGTTTAACAGCCAACAGCTACCATACCAATTCGCTTACATTGACTATTTACGTTCCTATCGCCAGCAAGCGAATGCGGCATTCCACGAGAGCATCGGTGACGCTATCATGTACGGCGTGATGACACCTCAACACTTACATCGACTCGGCATAGTGAACGATTCAATACTTTACTCTGATTCGCCTGAAAGACAACAAGATCCAAAATCGAAAGATGAATCCAAAATAAACGAGAGTCGACTGAGAAAATCTAAAACAATTGACAGTCAAAAATATGAATTACACGAAGCACTGCTCTCTAACATCACCGACTATTTTAACAATGTATTTAAAACAAACGACGATCAGTCTATCAGAGCTACAAATGATTCGGTTGTTTTAGAAAACGCAATCGGAGTTAGAGGAACAGAAACAATAGAATATCTAAGTGAAGATGAAGTAACATCGGAATTAGACACTGACAAAGAAAACGGTGATGTTAATAATAAAGAATTCCTAGACTTGACAACGGATGAATTACTCTTACTCAAGGTGGCATTAAACAAAATACCTCAGATCCCGTTTGCTCTTGCCATCGACGAATATAGGTGGGGGTATTTTGAGGGAGGTATGGATATAAATAGATTGAACAAAGAATTTTGGGACTTGACGCTGGAGTTGCAAGGTATAGTGCCACCAGAGGAAAGGACCGAAGAATATTTCGACGTGGCATCGAAATTCCATATACCTGACAATACGCCGTATATAAGGTACTTAAAGAAGCATTTTCTGAAATATTCAGTAAAAAGCCTTTACATCTCCATTACTTGTAATTTGTAATTAAGTACAATAAGAGATATGAGAGTAATCTCATGTGACAAACAAAGTAACATTTTTAATTTAATTTGTTTATATATTTTTTATTAATCTTCAATTTGAAACCAAACTTTTCTATTTGCAGATATTTTCTCAGTAGCTTCATTCAGCATCAGGTATTCGAGGCCTTGTGTCGCGCAGCCGTCTTCGGAAGACGTGATATGAATACAGAAATACCTGATACTATCACCTTGAATAGATGTGACATATACGGTTCAAAAGCGGCTGGAAAATTGCTCAGGTATAGTGTTTTTAGTACAAAGTTCGTTAAATTAACCGCTTTATACCAACCTCCTACCTCATTACTCATATCAATAGGATTAAGACTAACTTTTGTTTCTTATCGTATCAGGTTGATTATCAAATAGAGTACATTGTTAGATAAAACTCGGTTTACTTTAGAAATTGACTTTAATACGTAGTCACATCCACATCACTAGTTTACAATACACAGAATGCGATGCGCTTGCACATACGCCGGGAATCACATCTGTCAGTTCGCTTTGACAACTAGTGCTGCCGAACTTAGAGCTAAACAATAGGGACGTTGCTTATGGAATGAAGTTCGATTAATACACCTAACAGGACATGTGTTTTTTCTTAATTCACATACTCAAAACATCACAGAGATAGAGTAATTTGAATTTTCGCATTACGTCACGCCGTGGTACAATATTTACTTAAGTGACGTCAAGAGCCACCACTCCTAAACTTTAGTCATTAAAATTGTTATTATGTTGAAGAAAATGAAGATGACCGACGTCAAGTCTCATCTTTCATGGCGCGTACTGTAAATTTTTGCTCAGGACCTGTAATTGCCCGTTGTACTCGCATACTCGCTTATAGCCGAGCGATACAACTATCGGAGCTACACACTTGCTTCTCGCTGCTCGCCAACTCGTTCCTGGTTTCTAGTTTAGTCGTTTCTCGTTCAACGTCGGCGAGGGCGGTGGGACAAGAGCCTTGTTCTTTGGGTTGTACTTTTAAAAATCAAGATTCGATGTATAACTTTGTCGTGTTCGTGTCGTGTCTTGCTCAACGGCATTAAAAGCTATTTATGTTATAAAACGATGGAAGATGATGAAAATGACGGTACATCGAAAGTCAACTTCAAGAATAGTCCCTGTAGTTTCTAGTGAGTTAGATTTCCAAAGATGAGGCGCAGGTGATTAGCACGTTCAGTATAGTAGTAGCAGTAGTCGTCATAGGATGGGTGACCAAAAGCTTATTATCTCCAGCTCCTCGGTGCTTCGGAAGCATCGAGGGAGAAAGCATCTTTATGCCATAGAAATGGTAAAAAAGGCATTAAATCAGCTTTACTTTTCTTTCAGAGATTTCATGTCTAGAGGTAACTCCCAACATTGGCGGGAGATTCTTATCTCCACTACTGGCAACACTGACATCACCCCACTGGCCCTACAACGATACTACCGCCCCCTGTATGAGGTTTTGGAGAGATTCGCGAAAAGAAAAGGAATTCCTTTAGGCTGGTAATTTGGTTGTAGTACTTACAAAAATATTGAATTATGTATTTGAATTTGAAATGGGAATTAAATTATCAAATAATATTATTTTTCTCTATTTTGAAATTTCACTAACTACCTACTTAACTAGGAAAAATTAAATTCAGTCTAGCGGATCGATTGCCTAAATCAACGCTATAACAACACTATGGTGAAAAACTTTAACAATGTACGTCTTTTAAAAATTCGGATTGCCTAAAATTCACGAGGTATTGTTATAGCTATCAAATACTTTAGTGAGTGAACGATTCAACTGCGTTATGTTATTTTTTTATGTTTATATATCGTACTAAAATCAATTTCAGATCAACTCAAGCCAGTATCTTTCACTATACGTGTAAAGGTACGCGATAGCAACATAACTTGACCAAAACTTCGTTCTGATTGCGTCGTGAGATAGATTGTTTGTTGTTGCGTCGTTTGATTGATTATTATCTATTAGGTGGAAGTGTAGTGGGGACGAGTCGGCGACATCTGTTCCCGTACAACGGTCTATGATCACCCTTTTAACCACTTTCTGTGTTCTGTGGTAAATACCTATAGTGTGGGAAGTCATGAAATTATGAATGGAAGGTAAAAAGAAAACAAAACATCAGTTATAAATTAACAATAAATACAATTTATTAACTTAAATTCAAATAGTTACAAAGTATTTTGTTCGCTGGCGCTTAAAAGTAACATTTTGATTAGACGCAATTAGGTAAACTATTTAAGATCGACTAAAACTTGAGCATGGATCAATTTCAGTCATATTTTGTCGTGAAAAACAAGGATATGAGGGTAATATTATGAAGCTTCTTCTAAATTCAATATTAAAACAATAGTTAATTTTAGTTTAGTTAATTGCGTAAAATTATCCTGAGAGTAATGCATAGAGGTATAAGAATACAGTGGGGAAGGCGGCTCAACAAATTGAAGGAAGTTCATCTAGTAGAAAGAGAAAGAAGCAAGCTATCTCTCTCTCTTGTGACGCATGCACGCAGCCGTGTGATTTCAAACAAGTATCAGTGGAAAGTCAAAAGTCTGATAATAGTCATTATTTAATATAAATCTCAATATATCACACTTCGACGTACCAAACAAACCAAAACAAGCTAACCTCTACGAGTATATGGAATCACATCGAAATTGTAAGATGCTTACGGTTGCCAATGCGCTGTGCGATGAGAGAGAAAGCAAGCGGTCTCTCATCTTCTTTCTCTTCCTATCAGAGGGACACTTCCACTTGTAGTAGAGTCTATATCTGCCCTACTCTATTGTTAAACCTCTATGGTGTAATGCGAGTTGATAACTTAATCGCTTTTACGCGCTATCTTGAAATTGTATGGCATTTGATCAGCGCCATCTAGCAAATATCCCAAAGAACTTCGATATAGAAAAAATCTACTCTGATCCGAGACATGCGATTGAAATTAAAACTATCACTTGACGCACAAAATGTGATTGTAAAAGGAAAATATAATAAAACGATAATTTTTCCTCGAATTCAAGATGGAATAAATAAGATTGGAATAATTTAATGCTTACCTTAATTAATAATATTATTAACTTATTTACAAAAAAGAAAATGGTAAAAACATAAAACACCACACAAACACACACATATCAATAGTAAAAAAAAACTGTACAACTATTCAATAAAAATATTTACAAAATGCTATAGGCACTTACGAATATAATTAAGTTTTTTTTTGTCCATCTATAAAAAATTAAAATGTTTTGTGTTGGTTAACAATAACAAAATTATTGATTTGCATTCAAAAACTATCACATTATTGAGTCGTTTTATATAAAATTAATTCTAAATCGGTTTTATGATGTTTTAAGACTGGGTCACATAATTATGTCGACCAAAAAGAAATCTTCTCGACTCAAAGGTAGTTTTGATGAATAGAATGCGATCCTGACAGCTCGTGTCAGTTCCAAAAGCCACTGAGGCCTCTCCCCCCCTCTTAGCACGTTATTATCGGTCGATATCATCGGATGCGTTATTCAAATATTTGTTTTTAGTACATTATGCATGAGAATGAAATGCTACGAACTGGTATTAGCGACCGATAAAAATACCCTTATTTAAGGCCTTTATTTCACTTTCGATTTTGTAAAAACGAGGTCTGAAAATAAACTCTAATTCTATTGACATAAGGAACTGATATGAACTGTCAGAATGTCACCCTTTCGTTGGTTTGACCGCACTGTAACTAAAACGATTCTGATAACGCTTCCGATCAGATATATGTGTGCAGACCCTTAAAATCGTCTAATTTTTATGCCGGCAGTTTTTTTCTCTCTCCCACTTTGGGATCAAAATTTTATTAAACTACATTTTAATAATAAATAATATTGTGATGTTTTTTCAATTCTGTACTGAATTGAATTTTGATCAGATGTATCATTATTTTGTTATATTTGTATACATACACATACGTATTATTTTAATATATATTTTGTTTTATCTTTCATTATAAAAACAATAGACATTAGTTATTGGTTTTTATTTTATTAGAATCCTATTGTAAATTTGTAAAATATTACTCTTGTGTAAATATACATCTTGTGTTATATTTTATAAATATGCAAAAGATTAATTTTGTAATAAAAACATAAATCATTATAAATAGTTCAAATTCCTTTTTTTCTATTTTGGCGACTCTACTTTTAAGGACTTGATTAATAAACAACTGCTTATCAATATATCCTGTATTGCAAAAACCAAAAGACCTACTCCAAAGTGTTACAATTATTCGAAAATTTGCCTTTATTTGAGACGAAAAATATTCAAAAAAAGGCAATACAACACGATACCTTTTCTTAAAACGAAATGAATTCCTCCTAAGTTTTGTTTTAAACATTCATGGTGGCATCATAGTAATTTATGTTTTTACGATATTGCACTTGTTTTTAGCGAGACCCCGTTTCGGCAATGTTCCAAGCGCCATGACCGCGGAGTAACCGAAATCATTGCGGGTAGGATATATTATTTGCAGACATATCGGTCTACCCTCCGACGAACTCTTTTATTGTGTTCGATACCCGTACCACTGTTAACTTTCACACTATTCACTCGAAACTGTTCAACAGGTTAGCGATCCCGTAAATAACATAGATTACTGTAATCCTACTGTGTTGTCATATTTTAGGCAATTTTGCACCATTATTCGGTTTTAAATTTTCCCTACAAAAAACTAATTTCATTGTATTAAAATAATTACAATATATAAATAAATTATGCATTTGATTTTTGCATTGAAACGCTCTTTCACACAATGATACAAGACATAAGATTTTCAAGGTTCATCACAAATGGTCATTGGTTAACTTAATAGTCTAGGCATTTATAATCCTTATGGCGACGAAACAACGTCGCTATTACTATAAAATTCAGATGAATTTAAAATTTAACGGTCAGGAAACATATTATCCCTGTCCTTTTCACACCTTCTGCGGAAAAGGATGGGATTGGACAACAATAATCTTTATTCAACAGCAATAACTGACTGATTACCTCGTCCTTGTCGCTCTTACTGAATGTCTAGTACGTATGAGTAGAATAGTAGTACTAACATGGCCATATCCAACGATCTGTGGAGTGCTAGTTAAACGCCTATTTCTATTCATTCTTTTTCTGAATAAATAATATGGGTAAAGAATTGGACTGCGGTTATCAAATGACTAATTTGTTATTCCCGACGATGCACTGATGGCTAATCTTTTAGCGTCATCCAGCCTTTTTACACTTACCGCAACCACAGCAAGCATAAAAAGGATAGAACTCATGGTTACATCTGACTGTTGCACTTCTATTATACGACAAATAAATTTCGACGCTATGACAAAGTTGTAGCGTGTGAAATCCAATCCACAGTGTGGGCTACTCTATGGTATATCCCTGGTTGACCTCTACTTGCGCAAGAGTATCCAGCCGAAACGACACCAATCAGGTACCATCTCCCTGCTCGCTCTAACATCAAAGGCCCGCCGCTGTCACCTTGACAGCTGTCCTTGCCGCCACCCTTGTAGCCCGCGCAGAGCATTTCGGGATATATCACAACGTTTATTCCTGTAAAAGGAGAATAAAATATTAAAATTCACAAAATCACTTTCAAATTGGTGACATTGGAAACCAAAGACCAAAATTGTAGAATGAATTTTGCTACGCAAAACAAAGGTCATTTTAGTTTAGCGGGACTGGTAAAGTGTACACTGGTAACAATGGCAGATAATCTAGACAGCTGTCTGGGACATCGATAAAATACAACTAATTTAAAGTCGCTAATGCGTTATTATTTAAAAAAAAAGTAGTTAGTGGCCACAACTTTGTCTGCATTTCAATATAAACTTTCCCTTACTTTTTAAATGTATTATAATCAACGTGTAGTGTAGCGAGCACGGCCATGTGACGACCTGTACCCGTGTGTGTGTGTATATGTACGAATGTGTATATATGCTCACCGTTCACGCATTGCGATTGCTAGCAGACGTGGCTGTCTAGTATAAGCACGTCCAGCTGAAATAGTATGCTCATTATCTCACCGTTGGCGCTGTGCCACCGCTCCGAGACGAAGCTATCGAACCCGTGCTCAAAGTGCTTCAACGACAATTTCAAATAGTTTTATTTTTAAGTGTGTATGCTGTTGGTCGCAGATGACCTTTACAGCGTCACCGAGCTTGATCCTAAGGGGACCTCACGCCGAGAATTGGCGAGTGCCTCTAGAGGTATTCCAAGCGGATGGCATCTTCTCACGGGTGGAGTCTTCTCTCCGTCTGGAGCCTCTAGACCACTCGAACATGAGGGGGTCGGCTCAACTAGAGGACGTCGCTGAGACTCGGACCTCGGCTCTAGTTAGCCGTTGTTGTACCCATACCTGGTTAAGCGTGTCGTGTGTAGACCGGGTTTTCGCACTCTTATCCTACGGGGTGTCTACCTAATGCTAAGCTAGTGTGTAAATTTGCTTATTTTTTTTTAAGGGAGAGAGGGGTGAGGAGTCGCGCGAGTGACGTGGGGCGGCGTTTTGTATCGGCGCATTAAGTGGCCGGTGCGGGTCACAAGAAGCGAGCAACGACGATTTGTAGCGTATGGCGGCCACCGGCGTACCGTGTGTGGCGAGTCCATATAAAATGTATGAAAACTGCAATAAATGCCGGTGGCGGCGTTTTGTGGTTGTGGTTGGGGGCCCGTGTGCGGCGACACTAAGACGAGCCTCCCCGATCTACCCCTCACCCTCCAGGCGTAACTGCGGGGTCCAGTTATGAGTCGCCGCTTGTTACGCCTGGGATTCCTACCCCCTCGCGATGGTGCCGCGGAGCACCCCCTCCCTGGCAGTCACAGAAGGTACCGCTAGAGGACTAGCAGGCGGGCTCGGCGCCGACGACCAGTCCTAGGCCGACGGAATCGGAGGGAGTTGAAATAGTCTTTTTCTCTCTGTATACCGAGTAATTGCGGGTTGCTTTGACCTAAAATGTGCACTTTTTTTTTCAAATAAAATTGTAGCTTCTCTTTGTGATGAATATGTCACGTTTATATCTTTCCATTGTGAACTTTAAAGAATAAGTATCAAAGTTATCATACGAAAATAAGAAAAAAAAAATTAAGGGTTAATAATATTTATTTTAATTTTGGGCCAAAGTTGGCCTTAAAGTGGGTTACTTTAGCTCGTTGAGTTTTCTCTGTGAAAAAAACTCTTTTAAGCCATGTTGGGGTTAAATAACCCTTATAACAGATCACCATTAGCATACTGAATACACAAATGGATGTTTTTGCCCAAAAATAATTAGGTTAAATAAAAAATGCAACTTTAAATTTAGAAAAAATAGTAAACTTACCGAAAACCACAGTTTTGAGAAAGTTTGCGCATGAACTTGCGAACTATTTCAGTTACAAAAAATCCTGCGTTACAATGACAACTTAATACAGGAACGATGTCGGTAAAACAACACCACACTACGCGCCTATATGGCTATCTGTGATTTTCAACTGGAACTATTACGGTCACCCAAGAGTGATGGGGCGGCAAGTTCAATCATTTTTTCTGATTTGGGACAAAGTTACCCGCCCGAGCTAAAGTAACCCTCATTTACGGTATGTAAATCTCACCGTTGGCTCGATGCCACCGCTCGCACACGCGGTTGTCGAGCACGGGCACGTCGACGGCCTGCAGCGTGCGCGGCCGCAGCCGTGAGCCGGGGCTGAGCGCGCCCCAGCCGGCCGCCCACCCGTACGCGCCCAGGTACTCCGCGCCGCGCTCCGGGAGACATATGGGCGCTGTGGAGACATAGAGCAGATATATATCCGTGGCCGAGTGGTTTGTACGCCGGGTTTCATGGTGTCGCCGACTCGAGATGTCCCGGGTTCGAATCCCGATGGGGGCAGATGTTTGTGTGATGAATACTAGCATTTGTACTCCAGTCATGGATGTTTAATATGTATTTTTATATAAATATACTTATATATGTACAGTACATGTATTCTATCCGTTACCAGTCCGTTACAGTGCTTACTTTGGGGCTAGGCTAATTGATGTGAGTGTTGGAAATATTTATTTATTTATTTTATTTTAATACATAATATTACCATTACAACAAATGACATTCAGACAACAACATTAAATTACATACATATAATATGGACGACGAGAATAGAAACAATGAGAAGAACAAGGGCAAAATTAAGGGCAAGAAGATAAATAGTGTTCATTCAGAATTCAGTTTTTTGAACACTGAGACAGAACTAGAGTCTCTAATTTCTGCTGGCAGCGAATTGTTTTTAACTTTTGAACCCAAATCTTCTTATTAAAAACTTAGACCTAAGTTAATCCTAGAATAAAATAGATACTGCCACTTTTGTTAGCTAAAAGAAGATAGAGGCAATATTAGGTATAAACCAAGACTAATTTTAGTTTGGAATAAGGCGGAAAGGGTTTCAAATGGAACATCACTTATCTATTTGTCTGTCACAGACAGAACTCTACAGTTTTGCATGTTCAGATACTAGGCCCTGTTTTGCATATAGAGAACGCGGAACAGCGGTTGTCAATTATGTGACTTGTAGAAAGACCACACACGACACCGCAAGTTCGGGCGGTTCTTTGTTCAAGTTTTATTTTCGAGAAATTAAAAACACTGCTAGCGACAAACTGTCCATGCAGGTTCCACAAGAGCATCCGCACTTCCACGCGGCACCGCTTCTGCGCCATCCGCTGTTCCCCAAAGCTACCTTTGGCAACGCAAACTAATAATAACTATTGTTTGTATGTACCTATATGTGGCATGTAGTGAACATTCCTGTCCAATGTCAACACAGCCACGTCGAAACGGTCCGCTTGCGGTGTGAACTTGAACAGTGGGTGGACCTGAAACACAGATATAATAAACATTCAACCTTATTCAAGAAAATCATCCACAAAATATTAAAATAAATTATTTCTTGCTAATTTTCAACGTTGATACTAAAATAAAAAATAAAAGCATATCAATCCAGGTCATAAACTATATCCGTACCAAATTTCATCCAAATCCATTCAGTAGTCTTTGTGTGATCCAGTAACAAACATACAAACTTTCACATTTATAATATTAGTTGGAAATAAGATAGTCTATTCACAAATAGGATCACGACCATGTGTAGACTATAGGTAGGCAAAGACAGTTAATCTACCCACATAAATATGTGGTTTTAATAGAGAAATGTCGTCAAATTAGCCCATATTATTATTGCTGTTAGTCACAGATAACCTACACAGCATCACGGGGTTTGGAGACGGCGAGATCCATAGGGGATCTCACTTTGAGAAATGCCAAATGCCTTTATTGGAATTCTGAGCGAACGACATCACCTCTCGGGGGGAATATTGTCTCCTTACTAGACCTATTAGGCTATTCGAACCGGAAAGGCGTCGTCAGCTAGAGGGCCTTTACGAAGACACAGACCATGGCTCTAGTTAGCCGTTGTCGTGGAGATATGTAATAACTACAACGTGAAATTCTTACTTTTATAGTGCGCACTCCGAATGTGTAGGCTGGCAGTGGTTCAGCAGCAGAATTGATGACGTAATCACCAAGCGTGACGCGAACATGACGAGGTTGAGCGCGTGCGACGCAGTGTCCCGCCGTGACCACGTGACGTCGTGATATGAGCGAACCACCGCACCTAGAAGCCAAAAGTTTGCTTCGTTAGTAATTTACTTACTTATTTCCGTTATTTTAATGTTAACTACCACGCCCAACACTGCTACATCTTCGTAGCTCGCACATTGAAGTTTACTACGAGCATCTATAGTGCTACGAGTATGTAGTCATAATTAGGTAAATTGAACATGTTCGTAGCATCTTCTGATATATAAAATTCTCGTGTCACAATGTTAGTTACCATACTCCTTCGTAACGGCTTGACTGATTTTTATGAAATTTTATATGCATATTCAGTAGGTCTGAGAATCGGCTACTATCTATTTTTGGTACCCCGAAGTGATAAGGGTTGTCCACCCCTAACATTCTTTTTTATTTTTCTGATATAAAAATTATTTATTTATAAGATAGTATTACATTTACAAATATGAACTTTGATATTTAAAATATATTTCTTTATTTACACTCATAGCTTGTTTGTGTTGCAAAGTTGCATTTAGCGGCATGACAAAATCTTTTAAGCAGTGCGGCTCACATTGTGGCTAACATTTGATTTTTTTCTGTTCTTTATCATTTCTGCCGAACAAATCGTGCTAAAATACTTGTACATGATATTATATTGGTTGTAGACATCGCTTAAAATTATTATGTACTTTCTATTATGGGTGATTGAAGTTTGCATGCAACAAGTTACCGAAAGAAGTTGCTTTACATGTATGAAAAATGATTGTTATTATAAATGGAATCCCGCTATGAAAATAGTGAAATACCTTTATTACCCTGATTTATATTACACATAAACATAATTAAAGTTTTGGATATTCAATCAAATTAAGGTTAATATTTGTAATAGTGCACGGTGAAAATTATTCAATAGTTTTATATACATAATGTAATTTGGAGGAAATTTTTCCCATAATTTTGGACGCCCATCTAGGGGTTGTAACTTCAACCTTTCAGAAAACCACAAAGGAAAAATATTATCTTCTAAAAATATCGCAATCGGTTGTATTAAGTTACAAAATTTCTCTTTGGCACAACTGGGTATGCAATGAAATGAAAATTTGTTTATTTGTTTAAATAACATAATAGTACAATCAGTCGATGAGTTCTCCAAGTAAGTTTTAAATAAAACCCGTATCAGGAGAACCCGCTCTCTCATCACTGCAGTACCCCTAGCACGAACCAATATCAAATTCGTATCGTTTGCGAGTCCGAAATGTCATTGTCAAATGTGTACTGATTTTTAGTTCTCGTTACGTACTTTGTGCCGCTGCTGTTCAAGTTTCCATACAAAATTTGACATTGACATTTCGGTTTGCAAACTATTCGAATTCGATAATGGTTCGTGCTAGGGGTAGGTAAGTATCTAGATGATGCTATTTATACAGTAATCGCAATGCAGTTGGTACATGGGTATCATGGGAATCAGTGATTTGTTAAAGAACCCATGAACTAACTATAAAGACGTGTCACGGGGACAAAATTTTCGAAGCATGTACACTGCAGCACAACTAGTTGTGCAACGCGGTTGGTCCATGGGTAATACGGGAAAAAGTATCCTATCTCTCAATTTAGGCCATAAACTTTGTGCGGACCAAATTTCATCTAAATACGTTTAGTAGTTTTTGCGTGATTGAATAACAAACATGCAAACTATCACATTTATAATATTAGTAGGAAGATAGGTCGTGTTATGTTTCTATTCGCAAACACACACATAAAAGTATAAATATATTGTCGTGTGACACTCGTGACGCATTTCCGTTTCATCTTTTAAATAGGATTTTTTCCCCTTTACACACCGTCCGAAAAGAAGTTTCACTTTAAAAAGAATAATATGGAAAAAGATAATGTCATGAAATACAGGTCCAATACGATTTGATAAACTATCTGATACAACAAGGAAAAAAAATGTCATTATCCTTATTGGACTTACGTTTAAAATAAAGCAGGATTGCTATCTCATTAAAAAATAGCAACAAACTTCGCGCTCGTTAGCAAATACTGTTATTTTGTATGTACTTATCATTGGCGACGCACGCGCAATACTTTCCTTATTTTTTCGCTCAGACACCGTGAAAAGAACAAAGATACTGCAATCGCAACCAACGTGTAAGGCTGTCTAGGAAATCGCAATGTAATTACGCATCTCATGTGTCGTAATGTATGACATTTCAACGCCAACGCCAGGGCCTAACTCGGGTTCCGCCAGGGGCATTAAGTCTAGGACCAAGGGTCTAATAATAAATAAAAAAATACGAGCGGCTCTCGGGGACTGCCGTGGTAAATTTATTGCATAGCATTGTTATCAACAATAATCAATTAACAAAAAAAAAAAACTAAAATATGAGTGCGGGATTTGAATCGACGACCGCGGAGATGCGTCGAACGTCCCGTGGCAAGAACTCGAAGATACTGAAATAGCGAAAATGGTGTTCATATACACTCTCGTAAGGTTTTTTTCGTTACGGAATTTGTTGATTCGGTCACCGCGCTAAAAGCTATACAATAGCTTAAAAACAAGCTAACACCTCATTATAGTAAATATTATGTTGGGAATAAGAAACAATGAAAAGCTTGATCGATTTAGCTGGTTTATTTTAAACATCCCGCATTTAGTACACTGGCGAAACGCTGTAACTTAGCTACGACCGACAACATACGCGACGATCGCGTATGTTGCATCTGACCCTATCTGTAAGTGATATCCTATATTGCATCTCTGACAGATTACCGCAGTTTCGTTAACGCGGTTCACCTAAAGATTGACAAGTAAATGATTTTATGTTTTCATCATTAGTAAATTGTACTTGCAAGAATCTGGACGAAAGTTTTTTTTAAACACATCAATTAGCCTAGCCCCAAAGTGAGCACTGTAAGGCTTGTGTTATGGGGATTCTGGGGTAACGGATAGAATACTTATACTGAAACATATATGAGTATATTTATTTAGAAATACATATTAAACATCCATGACTGGAGTACAAATGCTCGTATTGATCACACAAACATCTGCCCCCACGGGGATTCGAACCCGGGACCTCTCAAGTCGGCGACACCATGAACCCCGGCGTACGAACCACTCGACCACGGAGGTCGGCAAATTTGAATTTGATTTGAAGGATTGAATTTTAGTATATAGAATTAACGGGTACGTATTGAAGGATAACAATGAAATACTAATCATCATCATCATCAGCCTATGAATGTCCCCACTGCTGGGGCAGAGGCCTTCCCTATGGATGGAATAAGGAGATTGGGCCATGACCCACCACGCGGGCCTATTGCGGATTGGCGCGTGCTAACGACTGCAGATTCAGCCGGCGCCAATGGCTTAACGTGCCTTCCGAAGCACGGAGGAACTCAAGATAGAAGATTTTTGGTCACCCATCCAATGACCGACCGATGCCAAAGTTGCTTAACTTCAACGATCGCAGCCGAACGCGCTAACTACCCGCACCATCGAGCTCCCCTAATACGAATAATTTGTATAAGATATAAGAAAGAGCTCGATGGCGCAAGTGAAACCATGAAACCCGTCGTACAAACCACTGGGCCACAGAGGTCTTCAAAAAAAGTTGCTATGAATTTATAAATGTCAGTCTAGAAAAGTAGAAATATCCATGTTTTACAAATATCAATGATATTGATATTTACTTATTGACAATACGCTATAGAAACATTATTTATAAAAACCTTTAAAAAATAGTTTAAAAGTGAGACGTCGCTAAAACGCATCTCGCTTACTTGAGATCACATTAAGTCTACAGTCCCTGGCCCCAGATACCCTTAGTACGGTCCAGTTCCAAGTACAATTTTCGTTTGCTTATGGCCTTCTTATAGAAAAAAAAATGGTATAACGAGAACAATTGCAAGATATAATATTGCGTCATATTTAACTCGTATCTTCACGCTAACTTAATAGAATGTGAGGATTCAGTAATGCTTTATATGTTGACGCATCAGCGCAATATCTTCAGGCACCAGAGTTGAAAATTAAGCAATAAACTGAAAATAATGTACCGCAAGCTTGTTAACATAATTGAAATACATTAAAAATAACCATTTGCCAAAATTTTGACATATTCAACTATTTATTTGACGTGACATTGAATAATACTTTTTTACTAAGTATAGTAAGTAAGTAATTATTCCCCCTAATTAATAAACGCGAAATAAAGCCTAAGGCGCATTTACATTTGATTGTAAGCCCCTATTCGGGAGCACGAAAGACATAACTTGAATACGGGCACTCAAAGCAATATTTATAATGTTTTTACACGAATTCTAGCTGGAAGACGGTGGCGCGGCGTCGGGTAACCAAAACAAAAACTATCTGAATACGCACAAAAACTGTCCTAATACGGGCGTACTCGACTCCGTTCATTTACACTTAGTCGTTTGTCTATTCGGGCTAGCGACCCAGTGTAATTGCACTATTAGCCTAGTTATGCCGTGTTTGGTTCATAACACTCAAGTGTCATTTGTAATTCAATGAACAGGCAAAACATGATTAACTAATCCAAGCTTATTATATTAATAAGAGGCTTCGTATATTAATAAGAGGAAATAGGAGGTATTTTATTTGTGTTATGTAATGCCTAAAATGCCACCTATACACCTATATACATTTTGATAAAGAGATCTTGACAACAACTGCAATGTTAGTTTTTAGTGAAACTGATTATTTTCACCTATAGTGCTTTACACAAAGCATATCAACAAGAAATTGCATGCATTATAATGAAGCTTATTATACATAAACCTATTATTCATCTACACTTACAACTAAAAGCTTAAAGTTTAAAAGAGTAGAAATGTGCGAAAAAGTTGTAGAAAAAAATAGGAAAATAAGACCATCTCTAAGTACAGATAAAATAAAAGATTTCATACTAAAATGAGGCACAGTGAAAAAACTGCATAAGAAGGTACTCACAGAAATTAAAGAAATACTTGTTATATATAATTATTCAAGCAAGCTTATTTAACGCTTCTCACATCTTGTTGTATCTCTAGAAATAAGATAGCATTTCATTTCAAATGAAAATTTAAATAAAATAAAAAGTAAAAGAAAAATGCCAACCTACATGTACACTACATTTACAAAAATACATACGAAGAAAATCTATTTTCACTTGCATGAACATGCAAAAAATACGATTTATGTATATCTAAAATACAGTATGTACAACACTACTGACGTCGTGCTATCTCTTTCGCACATTTACCTCTCTATCCAACACTGCTTCCAACCAATAAGCTCGAAAATTGACATAAGCATGTTGCATCTGGAAAATCAATGTTATTTAATGTTAGTACTATTAGTTACACAAAACAAAAATAAAAGATCTTGTATTTTCACCCAATCTGATTACTTCTTAAAATTTTTAAACGAAACACTAAAATAATTATCAAAAATAGAAAAAATAATCACTCTTTGAAAATAATAAGCTTAATAAAAATATACGTTCATGAATACAATTCATAAAATAAATGAAGTGAATTCAAATAAATTACTGCATTAAATCAATTCGTTTATGTATATGCGACCGCAAATTGGGCTCATAAAAGAATAAAATTTACAGAACTCTATGTAACCAATGGCAAAGGTGATTTGTTACAATTATACTGTTAGTGGTTAATGAAAATGTATGTATACCAATGTGCATATTCTGTACACAATTAATTACACATTGAATGAAAAGAGAGTGCTAGTGAAATAGCCGTTATTAAATTCACGTTTATTGTTTAGTTAAATAATACATAATTTACAAATGAACCCATAGATCTTTCAGTAAATCGTTTTTAACGGGATAAATTTTTTTTTCAACACATTTGCTCTAAAATTGCATTTACGAAGGAAGGAAGCGGAGCGTGTGGTATAATTCTTTTCGCACAGTCCCGTACATGGCACTATGCGTAATATTTGCAGTTTTCTTAATTTCGATCGAACCTCCTTTGAAGCGCTTATAGCCTTAACCTTTGTCTCACTTTAATAATAAAAAGAAGTAGAGAGGAAAGATATAGTTCTAATTTTCACCACCAGCACGTGGCGTTATTCGAAAATACGCACCATTTTCTTACTAAAAAAAATTGCTTCATTATTTAAATTATGTATAATATTTTCTCGCAAATGTGTTGAAAAACGTATGACATTCGTGCGGATTGGTATTACAAACTCGTGACTATGGTAAGTTAACTTACATTCGTTTACTCGTTTGTAATAACCAACTTACCGCACTAATATCATATATAACTATTATAACACAATATTTGATTCGGATTTATCGTGCATGTTTACATTATTAACATTGTTTTATGTCTGTGATTTAATAAATTAATTTTTATTTTGCGTCATTAAAAGTGTCATTAAAGTATCGTAAGCCATTCTTCGTCTTGTATAGATACACTAAGTTCTATTTGTTACAAACTGAACTTAATAAAAGCTAATTTTAAATATGAAACTGAGAGGGAAATTTTTTGTTTGCGGTTGCGTCTGCTTTTTCTTGTTTTATTATATTTGAATCAAACTATACGCGAAGATGTTATATATATTTTTAAGTGTGTATGCTGTTGGTCGCAGATGACATTTACAGCGTTACCGGGTTTGGAGGCAGCGAGATCTTAAAGGGACCGCAAGCCGAGAATTGGCGAGTGCCTCTAGTGGTATTCCAGACGGATGGCATCTCCCCACGGGGGGAGTCTCTTCTCCGTCCGGAGTGACTAGACCACTTGAGCCTGAGGGGGTCAGCTCAACTAGAAGGTATCTCTGACACTCGGTCCTGGGTTAGTTAGCCGTGTGATAAGGGGATAAAATATTAAGAATGTTTTTAAACAATTTTCAACTAGAAATTTCAAACTACGCCTATTGATGGGCGTGGCCATATCAGAAATAATTTTAATCGCAAACTTCCATCGAGAGTATTATATGACCTAGTTCACGGGTTTATTTTTTTGCAAACAAAGAGTTTGAAATTATATAACGCCACTAAACTTTATCAAGATATTTTATCATAAATTATTCAAATTTTGCTATGCCCTTTAGGGCGTCATATAGTTACCTATACTATTTATAAAATACATATATTGTTAATGTGACATGCAATAAATGAATTTGACTTGAGAGTTTTAGTCAAACCTATCTCACGGATTCGTTATTTACAACTTTTTTTTATACAATAGTTTTAAAAATGATGTTAAAGCCAGTTTTATCGACAATTGTAAAACGTATTTCATTTAATTATTTACAACTTTTTTAAAGAAAATTGAATTTTGCGTTAAGTGGCCAGTTCCTCCAAGCAGTTTTACAAAGCGCTATACAACCTCGATGATCCGATCCTGATGTAAGCTTGCCAGGGGAATGTTCCGAAACCGGCGTCATCGCCTCCGACAATTCTCCTTTGGGCTGTTTGTTTCCCAACCGCTATACCACAGCCTGTAACAAACATAGTTAGACCATGAGCATTTTTATGAAGAAAAAACCAGTTGTCAGTTGTGCTGGCTCACCGCGTATTCAGACTAAAGTTTTAGTAGATAGGCATGTTTATAGTTTGTTCATTATGAGAATCAAATCGCGAAAATGTTGACTGATTTTTTAATTTTCTTATTTATTCCTGATAAATGACATTGCTTATTGCCAGATAAGATATATGATAGAAGGGTGGCAAACAAGCATATATCTGTGGTAAGCGGCTATCATAGCCCATCACGCTAGCGATACAAAAAATATCACGCACGCCGTTGCCTACCTTGAACAAATCCCCTACCCCGTGGAACCTTGGATTCTTACTTTCTCACAATTTTAGGTCGACTAAATGTACAGGTACACAATAGGTATGGTTTTCTTTGCGAGCGTCAAATATGCGTCATAAACGATCGTCATATCATCATCATCAGCCTATTAATGTTCCCACTGCTGGGGCACAGGCCTTCCCTACGGATGGAATAGGGAGTTTGGGCCATGACCCACCACGCGGGCCCAAAGCGGATCGTCATATAATATCTTTTATTTGAATTGAATTCGGATTTTGATTTTCATTTACTGATCCATGGAATTACAGAGCATTTCATTTATGTTAATTAAAAGTATAAGGAAGTCGATGCCTGCCGTCGATGGGTCGACGTCTGCCTCCGAAACTTGACGACGGTTGGAATTGCAATCCATACAACTCCAAGCTCGTAAATATGAAACCTTAGCCCCCTTTAGTAATAAGCGAAGACTATGCTTGAATTAGTTACTCCATGTTTTGTCTCTGTCTATTGAAAATGGCATTTGAGTGACATGAGCAAAACACGGCGTAATTAGTCTAAGCTTATTCCTTGTTTATTAATAAGGGGTAGGTGTTTTTCATAATTTAGAATTTTTTCAGTGAAACTGAAATAGCTTAAAAATTATGCCAGAAATCCAATGTAAATTATTATGAATGTGTCAAAAACTATCATTTGTTTTAAATGAAAATAATTTTAAATGAGTATTTGAGTAAAAAATTTGGGTATACCTTCATACACATATTTATCCAGGTCCATCCTTTGCGTTTTCTTAAATTTGCTCTTTTTGTTTTTATGCTTTTTGTTACTTACTGCAGTTATCATGACGAAGATGAAGAGGCACAACAACACATACTTCATTTTGAAGTTCATTTAACAATCTCCCTAACAATATCAACACTTCATTTATTGCTAAAACCAAAATAAATGAAGCGACACGAGTTTTCTACCAATCACGTTAATTCATTTATTATGTGAAGACACTTCTATCACGCACGTGAGTAGGCAATTGATAATAGATATTTTTATGTTACTTTTTTAGTTTTTACATTTCATAAAATACACCTTTTCGTTTCGTAAACAATGAAAATACTTATTCCATTTTTCAAATCCCAAAACCGGTACACCCCAAACAAAAAACAGAACACAAACTTGTTTCATTTAAAAAAGCACTCCGCATGTTTTTATAGGCCACATAACGAACTTTTACTATTTTAAAGGAATTGAATTCAACTGTTTACACGTCCACAAAGGTCTAATTGGTCTAACAGACTAATAAACGCTTCGCATGTTTACATAACTACGGGTGAAGCTTCCTGAAAGGAAATGAATGGAAAATAGTTCGTCCGATACGCAACGATAGAGCGTTTTCTCTATGTACTTTTTTAAGAATAAGTAATTCTGTTTATGATTTGCATTTATTCTTAATTATTAAATCGTCTGCGTGAAAAGATTTGTTTCATATATAAAATCCCAGTTTTCTTTTCACCCCCTCAAAGGGTGACTTCTAGGGAATAATCTATCCTCATGCTGACAATACATTATTTTGGTCGTTAGAGTCTGTGCGGAAAGAAAATGTCCGTATCGAAAAACGGAACAAACATTAAGATTTTTTTTTTGGCAATCAAACCCAGCAGTCTGTAAAACGTCAAAGTTTTGTATTGATACAGATTTGTTAGTTGTTCTGATTTCTTGTGGTTTTTTTGTATTTATTCATGTCTAAATGGGGTAAAACCTTACAAATACGGTAGAAAAGCACTACAGCGCGCTCTAATCTAAATCCCATTCTCTTTCCGGACAGACTCTAGCAGGTATCCGGGTGCAGGGAAGACATTACTCGAATTTATGCACCCAAACCAATATTTACTCTTGAATACTGGCTGAAAGACGGTGTCGGCTAAACAAAAGGAAATCTACCCGAATACGGGCGTACTCGACTCCGTTCATTTACACTTATTCGTTTACCCGAATTCCATTGGCACTCGTATTCGGGCTAACTGTAATCGCTGCAATAGTTCTTTCCTAGGACTCACTTTGAGTCGTCTATACCAACTTTCATCTACATTGGTACAGCGGTTTAAAGGCGAATAGGTTACAGATAGACAGACTCACTTTCGCGTTTTTATATAAGTATCTCTTATCTATTAGACAAGTCCGTCCGTCTGTCTGTGGTGCTGTTTCAGCGGCCAAACCGTAAGAGATAGATAAAGAGAATATTTAAGTTATAAGTTAAGAATAGTCTGATAAGACTACAAACCGGATTTGAGTAACGTAGCACTTCCGGTTTTCGAGAAATCAGGTTTTGGTGAACATTTGGTTCACTGGTTTGCTAGTGACATATTAATATTATAGGTTAGTAAGCTAGTTCTTCTATAAAGAGTACTTACTTCTAAAATCATTGTTTATTTATTGCTGAACCATATGTACATAAAAGGTGTTAGACAAAAAAAGCAGCATTATGGAGCCTATCGGGCACGCCATTTAGCAGTATGGAGGGAGAAAGCGCTTTTTCTATTTGAAATATGGAATCAATACTTTTACATTATTAAATAAATAAAATCATTTTTAATTATTATTTCTACCAAACTTGTTATCGTAATATTCAGTTAGAATATAATAACATTTTTCGATAAGTAATTGCTTGAATTTTAATATAAAGGTAGTATAATATTAAAGGTAAAGTAGTAAAGGTAGTATTTTTACCTACACTTCAAAAAGGCACGAATCGTGTTCGAGTTTACTATTAACCCATCCTTCACCGCTTATATCAGCCAATTATGTAAATAACTATTTTATTAATATGGGAAAAGACCTTGCAGAACGCCACCAACCTCTAAATCTATTTTCTCAGTCACTTAACGCTACCACTAGTAGGAATAGTTTTGTTATGTTAGATACCGACCAACAAGAAATTTTGATAACATTAGCAATAAAATCCTCAAAACTTTTAAGCATGTTTTAATACCACCGTTAACACACATTTTTCAAATCTACCTTTCGCAGGGTACTTTTCCACAATGTTTAAAAAAAGCAGTAGTTACTCCTGTCTATAAATCTGGATGTAAAGATCAAGTAAATAACTATAGACCAATATCAGTGCTTCCATCCTTATCAAAACTATTAGAAAAAATTATAAACAAAAGGCTTATTGACTACCTGGAAAAAAAAACTATTTGTCACCTACGCAATTTGGTTTTCGGGCAAAGTTGTCAACAGCAGATGCGGTGCATAACCTGACTAACTATATTACTCAGGAACTAGGCAAAGGAAAGCATACTTTAGCTGTTTTTCTTGATTTAGCAAAAGCGTTCGATACCGTTTCAATTCCGAAGCTTCTAAAAAAGTTGGAAGCATTAGGTATTAGAGGAACGCAGTTAAAACTGTTTGCAGATTATTTAGACAATCGATCTCAATGCGTTAAAATAGGAAATATTAAAAGTGATTACCAGAAAATGACCTGCTATGGTATTCCCCAGGGAAGTATAATCGGCCCTACCCTTTTTCTCGTTTACATCAATGATTTATGTAACCTTAATTTAAAATGTGGAAAAATTATATCTTACGCCGATGCCTTGATTTTTAGCGCCAATAGTAGGTCAGAATTATATGAGGTAGCTCAACTTGGTTTTAATGGTGTAAATAACTGGCTTCGCTGCAATTTACTAACACTGAATACTGACAAAACCGATTATATTCACTTTTCTTTGCGCCAGCCTTGTCACAGGTTTACAAATCCTAACTTATACGCACACCAATGCCAGTATCCTTCAGTCAATAAATGCGATTGCCCTTTAATACAGAACACATCCCATATAAAATATCTTGGTATCTTAATTAACGACACATTATCTTTTAGACAGCATATTGCAAATCTAGTAGTCAGGATCCGTAAATTAAAGTATATTTTTAAAAAATTACGTACCATTGCAGGTCCAAAACTAATTAAACAGGTATATCAGGCCTTATGCCAATCAGTAATTCAATATTGTATAACTTCATGGGGTGGAGCTCTCAAAACTATTTTAATCCCTCTCGAGCGAGCTCAGAGAGCCATTTTAAAAGTAGCCAATTCACTTCCCTTCTTATATCCTACGCATCAACTTTACAAATACTGTAATGTGTTAACTGTTCGCCAGCTTTTCATTATGCACACCATATTAAAACAACACACCATTTCATCTTTTTGCTCTGATATCACTAACAAAAGACGGAAAGATATAGTCTGCATCTCTACACATGATTCAAAATACATCTTTTCACATAGATTCTCTACTTTCCTAAGTCCTTTCTTATATAATAAGTTAAATAGAGTGTTAGGTATTTATACATTAAACTATTTTAACTGTAGAACTGTAGTATTTAATTATTTGCACAGCCTGACATACGAGCAGACCGAAGAATTACTTCTTATTTGTAAATAAATGAACGTAACTCCATAATTTACATTTACCAACATTTATACAATGATTACTTTAAGTTCTGTTTTAATTAATTTGTTAATTTATTAATCATTCAATATATTATTTAGATCATAAAAGCCTGAAATACAAGTACAATTTTAACTGTAACCTAGTTCAGACAGCCATTATTTTGTACTTTATATTGTTATTAGTATTATTATGCAATGTATGACCTTATTTGAATAAAGATATATTTATTAAAAAAAAA